ATTTATCTGGACCCACATGCTGTGTGGACCGCATACGTTATGATATTTCGAACCTTTGTGGGCCTACATGTTATGTGTATCCCAACATCGACTTCCTCAGCCTCCACCAGCTATTGTTCGTCCACCCTCGACTTCCTCAGCCTCCACCACCTACTGTTCATCCATCCTCCACGGGGTCCTGTCCGTCCACCCCAATCGACTGGGTGTGGCAGCATCCTTGGGGTCTTGTTCATCCAGCGGCAACCGCCTACTATCACGGGGTATTGTTCATCCAACCCGAATCGGCTGGAGTGGGCCATATGTATGAGTGAGCCACAACAATGGGAACGGTTCGGCCACATCCCACTAACCTGGTTGGACTCATACACACCACATGTCTTGACTCGTTCTACGTATCACGCGCGCGTCAGCAATGGACACTGTTCATCTGGACGCAATCCAACCGGCTAGCTATTCTCGCTAGGGGGCACGATCGGCTATAGTAAGCAGCGAGAAGGATTGATCGGGTTTTGTTAGGAGCGAAGGAATCGCCCCGGTTCAGTTAGCAGCAAAGGGATCGATTGACTTCATTGCTCGAGTTCAATAAGCGAACGCCTCGCTCTGGTTCAGTTAGCAAACGCCCCGCACACACACGCATACAAGAGAGAACACGTAAACCACAGTGCATCGCTCAGCCCCGACCATGCACCGTAACCGGGAACTCCCCGAAATTTTCCTCGCCGTGACCTCTACAACGATGTTTTATGTCATAGACGGACCAAAGAATTTCATGCAGGTACATCTCCGGCCTGCCCAAGACAAAAAGCCCATTTTTCTGTCACATTTTTTGTCATAGAAGTAGGATCCCACCACATATATTATGATACGTGTTTTTGACATAATTATCGCCATAGAAGTGTCATAACCAAGACAAAAAGTTTTCGTTCGGGTCATAATGTCACAGATGTGTCTTTCTTTTGTAGTTTATGTCAAATATAACAATGAACATTCTAAGGCATTTTCATGCTATGGTTTTTGCAATTCCTTCATTATAATAGTTATGCCGGAACACCATTAAGGCCTCCTCGTCTGGGCAATCCGGGATTTTGTTTTTTATGAGCAAGAATGGCATCCAGAACTACTGGATGGTTTCTTTTTGTTTTTGTACTACGAAAGCTAGATCCCATATGTCGGTCGACCCTGAATTATAGAGACAGTAAGTGATGTGGGAGGTGGGTGGGAGAGAAAATCTTATTCCAAACCGATCTGACATCGACCTCCGCAGTGAGATATCCCGAGGTTGATCCAGTACCATTGTCGGGGTCGTCTAAATGGCCGGGCTATCTTGGCCGTCACTATGAGTGCTCGGATCCGAGCTCCAGGCTTAGTCCAGTGCAGCGTAAATTCCATCCCATGGCTGGTGCAAAACTGGCACTTGGCCGATGATCATTTCTGGCTCCTCAACCAGATCTATTGTCATAGTAACAAAAAACATGGTCATGATTTTGACTATTGGATAACCTCTCATCTAACATGTCGAATTTGAATGGTTTGTTAGATTGTATCATATGATCTACTCCTTTTATCCCTGATTGAAATCCTAGTTGTGTTTCAGTTCAAGCATCCAAGGGATTTATTAATAGATCACAACCGTAATAACTCAGGCCCACAAAATCAATGGTATTGAATTTTTCATGTTTCCACTGATTAAGATGTGAATATCTAGGGAGTCCATAATTAAGATCAGATAGATATAGATATAGATATAGATATAGATACAGATACAGATATAGATACATATACATATACATATACATATACATATACATATACATATACAGATACAGATACAGATATAGATAGATTGATGTATTGGCTTATCTGGGTATCCTCTCCCATCAATTGTATACTACAACAACCACACATGTGCCTACATTAAATAACAACATATCCAAGTTGTATATGCATATCTATTAAGAATGTGCAATCAACTACTCCATTGCAAACAATTAATTGGTTGCATCATTGCCAACAATTTGATATACAAGAGTTAGATATGCCTAGATTAAGTTAGAAAATATCCAAATCGTATATCTCTCAACTAATTAAAAGTAGTCCAATTAATCCATCTATGAGCAAAAGGAGTCCGAAAACTTGCACTATAGCCGCTATATATAGAAGATGAGTGGTGCAAAAGTCCTGCATAAACACATATCGACAGTACTACACAACATAGAACATGACCAACGCTAAAGTAGCTGGAGTGTTATGCCTCCTAGCCCTTGTGGCTATCTCTTGTGCGTGCTATGCACGAGCGTTAGATCACTGCATTAGGGATAAAGATAAGGTGATGAAATATTGTTGGCATAACATCGTAAAGAACCTTGGTGACCAGTTCCCACCACATTGGAGACTATGTTGCAATAAAATAAGGATGCAAAAGACATCCATTGCGTTTGTGATCGGTTCACCGCTCACGAACTGACTAGGATCGATGTATGGAGGTTTGCCATAGTTACACATGTATGCGGCAATGGGTTGCACACAGGCACTCATTGAGCAGGTTGGTATATTGTCATATATTTGAACACACACGCACGCACACACACACATCAAATTGATCGTGTTTATCATTATGATGTGAATAATGAAAATTTTGCAGGTTACCATGTTCCGATCATAACGCTACCACCTCCACCCGGACCCCCAACAGGTACCTAGGCCTTCAGTGTAAGACCATTCTCATAATGGAGAAATAATCTAATAAAGCCAATGAAGATGTTTGATGAATGTCATTTCCATAGTGTATTTGTCTTTTTTGATGTGTAACAAAAAATTGGGTATAACCTCGTCACTTGTTGTTGTTGACATTGCTATGATCATTGGTTCTCATAGATTTAGAGGATTTTAATGGTCATAGAAATAAAAAATGCTTCCAATATGCGAAGGCATGTCCCCGTCGATCTTACATGATTAGAGAACATAGAAATCCATCTAAAAACATAGAAATCAGGACAAAAAATTAGCGCTTTCTGCTAATCACTGGCAATGCTGTCAACTTTTTGGTGATGCATGTTTAATAAAGGTTATGATAAACTGTCATCGCATAAAAGAGTAGTGATGATAGCTGACGAAAGATTACTAGCGGAGGGAACTCCTGCAGAGCCGTCCGATCGAAATCATGTGTATGCTCTCTATGCCGAGAACTGCTATGCTCCTCTAGTCTTCTATGTCAAGAACCGCTATGCTCTTCAGAAGCAAAATGACATCCCCTAACCAAAACTATGAGAGGAACCTTTTGTAGATGTCATCCTTTAACAAACAAATCATTTCAATCACGCAGTTGTGTTACGAGCGTTACAACAATTGTTATTTTCCGAGCAAGTCCCACATGCTCTCTGATTGTGTTGTATAGCTTGGACGCGAACTAAGCATGGCTTAAATCGATAGATTTCTTGTGGTGCGACTAACTCACTCGGGCTAAGTTCTAGATTTGACACAGGTGCTCACTGTATTTTTTTAGTGGCATGTCGTGTCGACTATGAGGTACATGTGATGACTTCGTCAATCTCAAGATCAGCCGGCTCAGTCTTTCAGAGCTGCTCACAAAGACAAGATTGCGTGCATTTGTCCATAGAAATGAGTTTGTTGTACCGTGTTTCTAAATAAAGTGACTACATGGACAATGCAAAAATCTCCCCCATATATATGTGTGCGCGGACAGTTCGGACACTGTCCGTACAGAAGACACATCTCCAATTGACATTCTAGTCGCACCATTCGTTTGGGCTGTCCGAACCACCTTAAACTCATCTCATACATGAGGCGAAAAAAAGCTATTTGGATCATCATAATTTAACATTTTAGAGCGGACTGGTGGCTCGATCGAAAAATCCCGAAGTGAGTATTTTTTAAGGTGTCTTTCATGCCAAAACATCAAGAACATCGTGACGTATGTTAAAGTTATGTCGAATATTATTGTACAAGGTAGGTTATAGTTAGACTTCGTTTTGCACTGTGTGGACAGGGTAGGAGTTGTGTCCTAATAGGACACTTGTATCCTAGGCTCTCATATATATCAGGGGTAGACACACGATGTAACCTATGTCAACATAATAGCACGGGCACGCGGGGGAGCCGGCGGCCGGGGTGCGGTATTGTGACGGTGTCACGGGGAGGAGCGCCTGTAGTCAGGCCCCGGGGATGTAGCCATATCGGTGAACCTCGTTAACAAATCTCGGTGTCGTACCTCGTGTGATTGCTTTTGGTCCTCGGATGATCAACGATATGCCTTGGATTTATTCTAATAAGTGATATCAGAGCAAGGTTCGAGAGGCTGCGGATCATTGATTTAGAGGATGGATTAAGTTGATATGCAGCCGGCTAACGGCATGGTGTTTGACGAGATTGATTATATTTGGTTTCAATGAATTGATAGGATCGCAGCCAAAAGAACATCGATAACCGTAAGAAACAGAAGATAAAACACAGAATCAGATCAAAATCTTACTCACAAGTTAGTTTTGAGAAGGTATGAGTCCAACTAAATATGCATGGCTCATTGCTAAATATGGTGTCATGTTTCAAGCATCTCATTTTTATATTACTTGCAGAGAAACTTGGAAACTGGGGAAGAGCCAGATTGTATTGCTTTGTGGGAACTCACCCACACGAACGATGGAACATGGTCTAACACATATTCCCAGAAAGTTTACGTGAGTACATTGACTTTTGGTTATTCTATAGTTAGTCAATGATGTGCATTCGGCATGTTTCATCATCAGATGGGATTATTCATGCGTTGGACCGTGTTATTCTTGTTCCATCTTCTGTAGTGTCAATATTGATGCCGCACCTATAATTATTCCTTTTATTTTTAGGAAAAAGCACTTGAAGAGGTTAAAAACAAAGAAACTGAAACTGAAGGTCCACTTTCAAGTGAGCAGAAAAACAATATTTTTCAGACCGCATACAAAGACACTCTGGAATGCAAGTCATCGCAGCCTCGTGGGTACGGATACATGGCGAAAACTTCAACTGGTTCTGAAAGGTTTCGTATCCAGATTGAAGAGCAAGCTCGTGCTATAGCAGCCACCCAGGAGCGAAACTCTCAGCTCAGCCAGCAGGCCAACGAATTACAAGATCAACTACAAGCTGAACATGCAATCACACAAGAGAGGATTAACTTGGAGCGTGCTGAGAGAGAACAACTTGAGGAGAGGTTAAAAGAAGAGTGTGCTGAAAGGGAAAGATTGTTGCAAGAGGAGCAAACATCAAGACTGGAATTTGAAAAAAAACATGATGGCAAAGTTTGTAGAATTGAGCCAACAGATGGGAACCCAACAGGTGATTACAGTCATACGCTTTTGACCTTGTAAGATTTATGTTGCTTACTTGCATTGCTAAAAGCGCACTTCTATTTATAGGTGCCTACGAAGACGGTTGACAACAAAGAAAATAGTAATCCAAACTTGCAAAATATTCTGTTACAGAGATCTAGTCCTAATAAGGTTCAAGGCCAACTGCTATTTCTTCAAATGCGCTCATACAAGCTGCAGCAAGGAATTCTCGAATGTTTAAAGCAATGGTAAGTCACAACCTTGCATTCTCTTCATGTTCACCTGCATTTTATAGGTCATCGGCCTTCATAATTAGCTAGTTACTTGTTCACTTTTACCATGTGTTGTTGCTGCATAGAGTCACAACTTAAACAAAAAATGAATATGTGCTAGCTAGGGACATGGACTTTACTGAAACTATACATCGAGTCACAACTTAAATCAATAGCAGAAGCTTTTATTATTGAGGATTCCAAGTACCAGCTCAAATTATGGTTTTCTAATTATGAAATTAATGTATGTTGTCGCTCGGCAAACTATGTTCCTCACGAGCTTCCTAGACTTGGTAGAATGTACAAACCTAACCACTATGTGGAATGGGAGGCCGATGTACCAGCCCTTATGGCTGCATGTGCTTTGGGTGATTCAGCCCAACATCCTTAAGTTATAAAGTAATGTTTTTTCTCAAAAGAGAAGCTTTTAGTAGATGTACTAGTGCTTATGCTTTACACATTTACACTTGTATAATTGTTCTGATCCCTCAATTACATGCTTGTTGGCACAGTATTAGTCTAGTTAGTTTGGCAATAGTTCTTTTTAACAATGGGGCTAGAATAATTGTATGGCGTATGTTATGTTCGACTCATTTACTAGAACCTTTTTTTTATTTTTTGATTTCAGGATCCAAAGAACTAGCTGGACTGGACTCTAGATCATGGACATTTTAGTCTTCGCAGTTAATTAGGATGGCGAAATTACATTTCAGTTTCATTTGATGGATATTTGCTATGAGAATTATGAATTTTATGAATTTACAAATTATACGTATGGTTTTGAATATTGTAACTGAAAGCCTATATTTTATTACGGTTGTAATAGGCAATTACCACCACCCACTTTTGGTTGCCACATGCTAGCACCACTACAAATATATTGTTGCGTCATATCTCAGTCACTATGCCTACCTGTATTTTTGCACTAGGATGTTGCAACGGAGCACTTTATATTGTCGCAATAGCGTCACCACAATTTTTTTCACGATGTGATAACTGTTTCACCACCAAAGTAGGTTTTGGTGAAATTGAGTATCGCCACGGAAGGATTAAATTGTCGTAATAGTTTCTTGCTACAAAGATTTTACTTGTTGTGATACCTATTTATCACCACCAAAACAAGTATGTTGCAATCTACTGTTACAACGACTGGAATATTTGTTGCCATAAGTTAATACCACAAGTGCAGTGGGTCGTGGCAACATGCCTAATGCGAGGAAAACAAGGATTGTTGCCATAGTTTATTGCTACAATTGACTATTGCCACGGAAGAGTATTGCGCCATGAAACGGCCGTCGTTGGCATAGGATGTTGCCACAAATGTCTATCACTACGAGATATCAGTCGCCACCATTCATTACATGTTGCATTAAAGCTATCTCCATGAATCAAATTGTGGCATTAGGTGAGTGTTGCCACGGGAAAACACGTGGCAACTTCCCGCATAGATGTTGCGATAGGACGCTTTATTGCCACAATTCCTTTTTTTGTGGTAATAACCTGTTACCATGTGTTCAATCGCAATGGCTCCCAACGAATGTCGTTTCGTGGCCATAGGTACTTATCGCCACGAAACAACATGTATTGCATCAAACTGTTTTGTTGCAATAGACCCGGATCCTTGTAGTGAACATCGTGACGTATGTTAAAGTTATGTCGAATATTATTGTACAAGGTAGGTTACAGTTGGACTTGGTTTTGGACTGTGTGTGGATAGTGAAGGAGTTGTGGCCTAATATGACACTTGTATCCTAGGCCTCTCATATACATCGGGGGTAGACACACGATGTAACCTATGCCAACATAATAGCACGGGCACACGGGGGAGCCGGCGGCATGTGCCGGCGCGCGGGTGGTCGGGGTGTGGTATTGTGATGGTGTCACGGGGAGGAGCGCCTGTAGTTTGGCCCCGGGGATGTAGCCATATCGGTGAACCTCATTACAAATCTCGGTGTCGTACCTCGTGTGATTTATTTTGGTCCTTGAATGATCAACGATACGCCTCGGATTTATTCTAACAAGTGGTATCAGAGCAAGGTTCGAGAGGCTGCGGATTGTTGATTTAGAGGATGGATTAAGTTGAGATGCAGCCGGCTATTGGCGTGGTGTTTGACGAGATCGGAAGAAAGCAGATTACTGAGATGGTCAGGATCGTTCACAAACAAGGCTGGACGTGTGGCGATGGATCAAGAGCAGATCAGATTGATCGATGCGTGCAGCACGCTATGTCACGAGGCTTGCAAGGTAGGCCGAGTCGAGACGATGGCACGTGGAGCACAGCACCGCGTGGCAGGAGTTCCACTTGATCTCGAGCGATCGATACATGCGGGTGCGGCGGAGTCAGGACAGCAGGCCTGGTGGAGTGCAGGAGTTTAGCGGCAGATTAGATCCGTACGGCGGCGGGTGTCGGTGTCAAAACCGGCGGATCTTGGGTAGGGGGTCCCGAACTGTGCATCTAAAGTCGATGGTAACAGGAGACAAGGGACACGATGTTTACCTAGGTTCGGGCCCTCTCTATGGAGGTAATACCTTATGTCCTGCTTGATTGATATTGATGAATATGAGTATTACAAGAGTTGATCTACCTCGAGATCGTAATGGCTAAACCCGAGAGGTCTAGCTTGTATGGCTATGACGATGAGTCTCCTATCCGGACTAAGTCCTCCGATTTATATAGACACCGGGAGGATCTAGGGTTACACTAGGTCGGTTACAAAGAAGGGAATCTACATGTCCAGTCGCCGAGCTTGCCTTCCACGCCAAGGAGAGTCCCATCCGGACATGGGTGCTGTCGGTGTCAAAACCGGCAGATCTCGGGTAGGGGGTCCCGAACTGTGCGTCTAGGCGGATGGTAACAGGAGGCAGGGGACACAATGTTTTACCCAGGTTCGGGCCCTCTTGATGGAGGTAAAACCCTACGTCCTGCTTGATTTATATTGATGATATGGGTAGTACAAGAGTAGATCTACCACGAGATCAAGGAGGCTAAACCCTAGAAGCTAGCCTATGGTATGATTGTTGTTCGTCCTATGGACTAAAACCCTCTGGTTTATATAGACACCGAAGAGGGCTAGGGTTACACAGAGTCGGTTACAATGGTATGAGATCTACATATCCGTATCGCCAAGCTTGCCTTCCACGCCAAGGAAAGTCCCTTCCGAACACGGGACGAAGTCTTCAATCTTGTATCTTCATAGTCCAGGAGTCCGGCCGAAGGTATAGTCTGGCTATCCGGACACCCCCTAATCCAGGACTCCCTCAGTAGCCCCCAAACCAGGCTTCAATGACGACGAGTCCGGCACGCAGATTGTCTTCGGCATTGCAAGGCGGGTTCTCCTCCAATTTCCGTGTACTTGTTGAATAATGTCCGGTTTCTTGTAAATGTAGCGCTCCTTGGCTTCTACGCCCAATAATGGCCGTCTTCCACGTGTCAAACGAATACGAAAAGTCAGGGTGTTTTTATATTTACACCCCTAGCCGCATGAATGAGCCGCCTATTTAAGGGGACGAGGATTTAGATCCAAACCACACCTTCTCCCCTCCGCGAATATTCATCAGAGTGTATCCGACAGAGGTCCATTCTATCATGGCCGGCTGTCGCAACTCCTCCTCTCGCCCTTCCAGCCCTCAGCCTGGAGATTGGGAGAGATGCTCCATCCCACACAGCGAGCTAGTGACGCTCCAGACCAAGGGATTTCTCCCCCCGGCCTATATGGTCCCCGTTCGAGCCGGACTTGCCACCTATAATGGCGGAGAGCAAGCGGAAGCGCCCCCAATCCCTCCAGAGGAGAGCGGGTATGCCTTGTCCCTTACTTAGTAAGAGGGCTCGGATTTCCAATTCATCTGTTTCTCCGGGGGCTCCTGGAGTTCTATGGCCTCCAGCTGCACAACCCCACGCCTACCTCCATATTGCATATCGCGGGCTTCGTAGCCCTTTGCGAGCTGTTTTTGGGCTGCGAGGCTCATTTCGCGCTGTGGAAAAGGCTATTCTACCTTGTGCCCCGTTCTCAGAAGGGGTCAATATATCAAGTGGGCGGAGCCGAAGTGTGGCGCATCGCCGGGACCGGATATCTATCCGAAACCCCAAAGAAGGCGTCCGAGGACTGGCCTTCAGAATGGTTTTATATAGAGGACGTCCCGCTGCCGGATCCTGTCCGGATCGGCCTCCTTGAGTTCGACAGTGCTCCCCTAAAGAAGCGCCTAAGCTGGCGTCCACGGAGCCCTCAGAGGGAAAGCGACAAGGACGTTCTTTACCTGATGGGCCGGATAAGATTGTTAGCTCATTCCGGACTGACCATGATCGAGGTCATGGCCGTATGCATCATGCGAGGGGTGCAGCCGCTCCAGTATAGAGGCCACCCCATGTGGGACTTCAACGGGGAGGACGATGCCACCCACCACGGCCGTAAGGGGCCGGATTCGGCTGCCGCTCTAATAAAGATCTTGTCCGCTTTGTACAAGGGAGAAGAGGAGGAATTTCTCCACGTCAACCCACAAGGTCGATTTTCTATGTACAATCCCCCAAGTTGGGTAAGTGGACACTTTTACTTGCCCATCCGTTTTATATTCCCATCGTTAAATATTCAGTCTAACGACTTCAATGCAGGAACTGCGCCAGGCTGTTAAAGAAATAAAAAGCCCTCCTCCACAACCCGAGGATCCGGGACGGTCCCTTGACCCGGCCTCTCAAGAGGATCCGGACTTATCTGTAGAGCTGATTGATGGGGTGTCTCGTCAATTGAGCAGGGACAACGCCTTGGTGGCCATTACGGCTGATTACCTAGGGCTACTCCCAGCCTCACAGGTAACTGAGACCGAAGTCCCAGCACTTTGAA